GACAATTAAAACAGACATTCAAGGAACGAACTGGGGGGGAGGGTAGAGAAAATAGTGCAACAATGAATGAATGGAAACCCAAAATCTCTGTAAATGTTCATTAAAATTAATAAAATTTAATAAAAAAAGAACTAGAAAGAGGTTTAATTATATCAGAAGTTGTGCCTCGATCATAGATAAGAAGACTGAACATTATGAAAACAACAATCCTATTAAAACTAAATTGTAGGTTTGATGCAATCCAAATACAGATAACAAATTCGTTCTTCAAAGAGCCACAAAGGAGAAATTATAGTTCCATTTGGAAATTAAAGAGACTTAAATAAAGAATGTTTTTCCGAAAGAAAAAAAAGATGACAGAAGAACAACTGATGCCTTGGAGTTGTGGTGCTGGAGAAGAGTATTGAATATACCATGGACTGTCAAGAAAACAAACAGGTCTGTCCTTGATAGGGTGAAACCAAGCTGCTCCTTGGAGGCAAGGATTCTGATTGCTGCCAGGAGAGACCAGCCTTTGGAGAAGGACATCATGCTTGGATGGGTGGAGGGACAGAACAAGATGAGATAGATTGACGCAGTACCTGGGTCAATGAGGGTACGTGTGTCAGAGATAGGGCTTAGGATAGGACAGGATTCAGAGCTGTTGTACACAAGGTCACCATGAGTTGCTGGCGACTCAATGGCATATGACAATAACAATAACAACAACATCTTTTATTCTACCATAATTCTTGGGTCAGTGAAGAAGAGGAAGACACTTAACATGAAGGGTAGAAAGTAACTCCAACAATGGTTTAAGTACAACAGCAATTATGAAGGTACAGGACCAGGGAGTGTTTCATCTCCAGGAGTTGCAGCCAACTTGATGGCACCTAACTCATTCTACCATTTAAGGTTCATATTATTATTTATCTAACTTGACTCTGGTGGCTTAGTGGTACAGAACTGCACTGCCAGACCAAAGGCATGAAGTCTGAATCCACCAGTTGCTTTACTGGAGGAAGATGGGCAATTGCCTCTAGTGTGATTTACTGCCTCTGAAAACCTGCTGGAGGGTCAGCTAAGAGTTTACTTCAACTCGATAATAGATAATAACAACATCCTTTCCTAATTCATAAACAGTATAATAATTTCTGGATGAATGAGAGAACAATGTTAGAACTGTTTTTATATATGCCTTGTCTCCCAGAATAGTTGTTTTTCTTACATCCCTGAGCCTTTATCTCCCATAGACTCTAGTAATTTAAGTTCAAAAATGGTCCAGAGAAGCTCCAGCCACAGAAATTTTATACTGTCTAAAGCCTGGAATATGTATACACGAATGAGAACACAGGCTAACAATTATATAAACCAAAGATAATTTAAACAGATATGCTATATGGGCCATATATTAAACAGATCTTTTACATAAATCACTAACCCCCCCTCTCACCCCCCCCTACCCCCCCGCTTCATTACCAGGCTATAGGGAAAAAAGATTAAGGAAGGAATAATTAGATATGAAACTTACCTTGCCTGTGAATCATGCCCCCATGCATAATTCTTGCAACAATACAATGATTTAGTTCATTCATTTTTAGAGTGATTCCCTGTAAAAAGTTAAGTAAAAATAGGATTACTATGAGGTAATGTGTATCCGGTTTATATTTGTGATCTTGCTTTAGATGAATAAAGAAAACAATGGAAACTCGAGGTGAAAACTATTCACTACTTCACTATGTCAAGACTGGTATTTTGATTGCTATAATGGTTATTATTGACTATGCAAAGACTTTTGACTGTGTGAATCACAACAACCTGTGGTTGACTTTGAGAAGAATGGGAATCCCAGAACATTTGATTGTGCTTATGCGAAACCTATACTTGAACCAAGAGGCAATCGTCAGAACAAAGCAAAGAGACACTGCATGGTTCAAAATTGGGAAAGGTGTCCACCAGGGATGTAACAGATCATCCGGGATGCTGGGCTGTACGAGGAGGAATGTGGCATCAGGATTGGTGGAAGATTCATCAACAACCTGCATTATGCAGATGACACACCCTGCTCGCTGAAACTGAGGAGGACCTGAAGTGCTTGCTGCAGAAGGTCAAGGGCTATAGCCTTCAATATGCATTGAAGCTCAACATCAAGAAAATAAAGATTCTCACCACTTGGCCAATTGGCAGCATCATTTTGGATGGTGAAGAGATTGAGATTTTTAACAGTTTTAGTTTGCTTGGCTCCACAGTCAACACTCTTGGTACCAATAGCCAGGAAATCAAGAGACGAATTGCATTGAGAAAGTCAGCTGTCAGGAACCTCTTCAGAGTACTGAAGAGCCACGACATCAGGCTGGAGACTAAGATGTGCTTGATCTGGGCTATAGTCTTTGCAATTGCGTTCTATGCTTCGGAGGGCTGGACAGTGACTAGGGATGATAGAGAATTAATGCCTTTGAGCTGTGGTGCTGGAGAAGAGTGTTGAATATACTATGGACTGCTAAGGGACAAACAGGTTTGACCTGGACTGGGTGAAACAAGGCTGCTCCTTGGAGGCAAGGATTCTGAAGCTTTGTCTGACATATTTTGGGCGTGTTGCAAGGAGGGGGTAGTCCTTGGAGAGGGACACTATTTTTGGGAGAATGGAGGGACGGCACAGGAGAGGAAGACCCTCGAGGAGATGAACCGATTCAGTGATTGAGGTGGTGGGAATAAGTGGGTCGAAGACAATGAGGTTGACATAGGTTGTTGTTGTTAAGTGCCGTATGAAGGAAAGTCCTCGACGCTCGGGTGCCTTTCATCTTCTCTCCAGGTTCATAATGTTTCCGGAGGTAAGCTATTATGGAAGTGGATGCCACTCCTCCTTCCAATGGCGTAAGTTAGAGCAGGGTTTAGTGCTCTTGTACATAGGGTCACTATGAGTCACTAGCAACTGGACAGCACATAAAAACAACAACAACATAATGGTAATGAGGAGCTCTGGTCGAACAGTCCATAATATGTTGTAGTACAAACCAAAAGGCCGTTTGCTTCTGGTGGTTTTAATCCACAAGTCACTCTGAGGAAGAAAGAAAAGCAGTCTCTTTCTGTTGAGATTTATAGCTTTAGAAACCCAATGCAAGGTCACTATGAAGCATATTTGACTTGAAGTCAGTGAGTGAATCAGTGATAACAGCAGTACTCACACATTATTCTATATTGGCAATTTAGGGAGTCTGCTTGGCTCTGGCTCTGTCTCCCACTGTGCTGTGGACTAGAAACTCTTAGGGTAGGAAGGTGGGGCAAACAGAGGACTCAGTGCCTTTTCCCCCACCTTACTAATTAGTAACCTTTGTTTGATGTCCAATTTCTTAAAAATTTTTGTGTCATGTAATTTTGTCCACTTTTGTAATTTTTTTGGTTGTAAAGTGAGAGAGTAAATCTGGTCTTTGTTACTCCATCTATCCCTTCCTACATTCATTCATTCATATTCTCTACATTCCCCATCATCATTCTTAATAACAGAATATTATTTGCCAGAAGTAGATTGTTCTCTCCATTGCTCAATATAAATTCTCAAGTTAAGCCTTCATAAATTTATCCTTGCATTACACCTGGTTGATCACAACTTCTAAATAATGCTGATTTTTAAACTCACTTGTTGGATTTAGATTCAGTATGTCTGGAGTTTACAGCCTCTGAAAACCCACTAGAGGGTCTGCTATGAGTCAGTTCTGACTCGACAGCACACAACAACAACAGGGCTAGAATAGAGCACAGAAACCTGTATTTTTCAATAGTCTCCCTCAGTGAAAACTGCTCTTGAGTTTGAGATGGCTAAATACAGGGAATCTATCTTGTCTTCTTCCTTGGATAATAATACTCTGCCAGAAAGCGTCATGAAAATATCTTGAAATTGTGTATTTTAATTTGCATAATTCCACAAAACACAATTCTGCATGGTTCCTATTTTGTAGTCAAAAGTGGCAGGCAAGCAATATGAAAAATGCTTTATCAAAATGTCTCTAGTCCCAACATTCTATTGTAATGGTTAAGTTTTATTTCCAACTTGTACCTTCAATCAGTATGTATGGTTAACAAGATGCGTGTTCCTAGAAAAATACTGTGAATTAATGTATAAGTAAAATCTATTTTCATCAAGGAAATGAGAATATAATGCAAATTCCACCCTTAAAAAGAATAAATTTATGTATTAATTCAAGCGGTGTTTTCTGCTAGGAGAAGTACTGCACAAGAAAGAGAAGGTTCCTATGGCTAGAGGAAGTTCACTTTAAACTAACTGTTATATTTAGGTACAATCAAGTCAACTGACTTATAGCAACCATATGTAGAGCAGATAGAAACCTTGCCTCATTCTATGCCATCCTCTCTGCTGTTCTTAAGTTTGCTGTTGTAATCACTGTGTTAATCCATCTTGTTGAGGGTATTCCTCTCCTTCTCTGACCCCCTACATCTAACCAGGACTGGCTCCACCGGACAATATGTTCAAAGTATGTGAGGTTAAGTTTCACCATCCTCTAAGGAACACTGTGGTCGTACTTTTTCCAAGACAGATTTGTTTGTTCTCTTGGAAATGCATGGTGTATTTGGTACTCTTCTCCACCACAGTTCATAAATCTGTCCATTTCTTCCTAGCTTAGCATGAATCCCTCTATCTCAGAGTTTCATCATTTCCCCTGTGCTACAATAAAACCCTCTTAACTGGCCTCACTATATCTACTCTTGTCTCCTCTAAGCCATTTTCCAGAGTGATAGCTATAAAATAAAGATCTACTCTTCGCACTAAATCAGTAGAATCAGTGGTTCATAGATAGTAGTAGGCATTTGCTGTCGATTACCTTTGAGTTGAGAATGACTCATAGCGACCCTATGAACAAAAGGCTTGAAGCCCCTCTACAACTATCGATATTTATCAAAATTCATAGAGTTTCTGGAGGCATGTTATTTAGGAAGTGGATGCCACTCCTGATTCCAAAGTAGGCATTTATAATTGTTAAATGAGTGGATGAATATGAGAAATGGATAAATGAAATGTTAGACTTTCAGAGCTGAGCAGAATTTGGGGATCATTTCTCAAATATTCTTTTATAGATGAGCAAACTGACAGTCCAATTATATGAAGTGATTTGTCCAAAGTGCCCAAAGTGCTTCCTATGCTCCTAAAGCCCAGAGTTGCTTGGAGAGAATCAGAAAGCAGATAACTGGTGACTGAAGGTGACTAGTATGACTCCCGCCTGCTGAACATTCTAAGATAACAGTATAAATGGCAAAAGACAGGAAATAAAAATTATAATCAGAATGGAAGGATTTTTAGAAATTGTGGTCATAGAATCACTGCTTTGTAACTCTTTCTTTAATTGGGAAGGCAATTGGGTAACTTTCATAAGTAATTGGGTTTTGTACACCTCAATATTCCTGCTCTAAATTTTTAGTAAAAACCACATACATGTGTAAGTTTGAATGGGATTTTTTTTTTGGCCAAAAATTTGAAATTAAATCCATCATAGGGATTGTGCAGGACAGGACAGTGTTTATTTTCCCATTGTGCAGGGGTTGCCACAAATCCAGGCTAACCTGATGGGAGTGTCAACAATAAGAGCCTTCTCACTACCAAGTTTATACATGCGCTATTTGGTTGATCTATATAGTTTTGTCCACTTAACATCAAGTACACTTTCCTTGATCCTCCTAACTTACCAGACTTCTTCTATATAAGATATAATACAGAGTTCAGCACTGATTCAATTCCAACATTAGTCCTAAGCACTGAGAAAAATGTATTAATATTAAATAGACATGTAAATGGAAGGAATTTCATTTTAGCAATGCTAAAAAGATTATCTGATTTGGAAACCTCCAGACTTGTTAGGTGTTTTTTTGTTTTTTAATTACAATGTCATGAGACAGTTACTTTCTCAACACCAGTATTAATATTTCAAATGCTCAATTGTTTCCTGCCCCAGAGGATATTACCTCAGATACATGCTGAGGTATTAGACTGTGAAAGGAGAGTTGGGAAGCAGAAGCTACATGCCTAAGCTATGGTGTCACACAGAGCAATTCTAGGAAAGAGTATTTGAGAGGGAAATTTTGGATCTGAAAACTGTTCAAAAAACTATCCCTGTCCTCCTTCCCTCCCCACCCCAAAGCAGTTTCAAAATGAAGTTAGTTTATCTAGCTCATGCTTGGATGTTACAAGAGCACAGAGAATTTTCTGACTCACCATTGGTTCATCTGTGTTCTTTTGGAATTGTACCAGTCGAACTCTGGTCACATTCTCCATATCCATGTCTCCATTAGCGCTTTCTGGAGAATCACCATTCAGATAGGGAGAGGTGGGAGGTGGTGTTACCCTCAATGCTTCATCACTGTAAACTTCATGTGCCACTACGTCGTGAGTCTGAAGTAAGGCCTGTTATTTTATGAAGGAAGTAAAATATTAAAGTATTATTCTTCCAGGATATATTAATCATCCTTTGCTCTCAAGAGTATCTCTCATTGAAAGAAATCATCATACATGCACATCATACCCTTGATATAACCATATCCAAATTTCTTAGTGAAAAATAATAATCATGTTAGATGAAATTTTTTAATTTAAAAAATGAATAAATAAGGCGCACTTATTTATTTATTTATTAAAGCAGGAGTGTTGTCGAATGATAAGAAAAGAACCTAACTAAATTGATTAATTAATGCAATTTCAGGTAATTTAGCAGAAAAAATTATCTATAACTACAGCTGGTGGATTTGAGCGAGGTATTAAAAATGTAGAGTGACAATATGAACAGGGCAATAATTGGTGTATCTATATCTGGTATAAAATTTTACTTAACCTCAAGATTGACTATAATTTGTAACATAATTTGTAAAATAAATAAAATTGTATTATTTTTGAAAATTGGATGGAAATAACATAATTTTAAAAATACATATATTTGTTGTTGATTGCCATTGAATCAAGCATGACTCATAGTGAATCTATGAAGCCTTTCAATAACTATCGTTTTTTTCTCAAAGTTCATAGAGCTTACAGAGGTATGTTGTTTAGGAAGTGAATGCCATTCCTACTTCCAAACATATAATTTAGAACTCTTAAAATTTAAATTCATATGTTTTTTTGGTAAATTTCCAACTTTTTGGAGCACTTGCTGAATGAAAAAGAAGTTGATATTAAGAGTTTGTCTGGACACTGTAATAAGTTAATTGCATCAATCAATGGTAACTCATGCTTATGAATGACTATATGGAAAAAAAACCCAACCCAACCAACCAGGCAATGTGATTCGTAAACCTTCACTCAAATAAAACAGATTTTTTAAAAAAGAAGTAGCTAATTATTTTGATATAGCTCTGGTGGCCTAGTGGTAAGAAGCTGCACTGCAATCCCAAAGGCATGCAGTTTGAATCCACCAGCAGCTCTGCAGAAAGATGGACAATCTCATCCTGTGAGACTTACTGCCTCTGAAAAACCCACCAGAGGGTCAGTCAGTTATGGGTTGGTGCAATTCGATGGCACAGAGCAACAATAACAATAACTCTGTGTGTGTGTGTGTGTGTGTGTGTGTCTGTGTAATGCCATTTAATTACAAAAAAGTGAGTACATTGTACTGGTAACTGCATATTATCTTGGCAACCTTGAATAACAAATGTCTCTAGTTTCCCTGGAAAAACTCATCCTTTCAGTTACTGCATTCTTCTCACTATCATGAAAACTAGCTTTTAATAAGCATGAACATTTCTAGCTCAAAGAGAACTCATAGCTAAATAACACTGTGATTGGAATTTTACACAAATAATGGTTTTGAATATGCTTACTAGAATTTTGTTCTATTTTAATTTGTGATCTGTGTGCAAATGAAACAGCGGGAGATAATGAAATGAAAATTGCTTTACAACTATAACCCTTGCATCTTAAACTAAATTACTTAAAGTTTTATGAAAATCATGGCTTGGCTTTTTTACTTTTAAAGGCATGCTTATTGTAAGCATATTTTTTAAAAAAGGAGATTACGGTAAAATCATAAAGAAGCTGATGCTGGTTTGTCATCACTAGAGCAAATGGTTTGTGTTGTATTTGCATTTGGGTTGCTAGTGTAAATAGCAGAAATTTCTGCAATCTCAGAACCCTGTGGTGGCTGTTGTATATAGGGTTGCTATCAGTTGTAGGCAACTCGATGGCACATAACAACAACAAGTACGATTCAGTAACACTGGTTGTATTTGTCAAGTTGTGCAACATTCTCACCCTCCTGCTCTACACTGTTCCTCCCTCATTAACATAAACTTACTGTCCCTTAAGGTTCCTATCTAATCTTTCAAGTTGCAATTTGATCCCATATAAATGTTCTTCTTTTTTTATAAAAAAAAATTGTTGCACATTTTCCTCCCTTCCCCAGTCCATTTTTAGTGCCTCTTTTGTTCCAAATTGTTCTCACACACAAAAAATGCCTAAACATATATATTCCTTTCAGACAATTCTTCCCCTCATCTGTTCCAACGCAGTGTTCATTATCCATTTACTCTGTTCCTATTCTCCCCTCAAGTCCCCATGATAGTCTTATTTTATAAAAGTGGTGTTATGCAGTATTTGTTCTTAAAAGAGTTTACTACTAAAGGCAGACTTTTTTCCACTAGTTAAGATGAAACTATTGTTTGCTTTTAAGAAGACTCCAGGGAATATTCCGTTTAAGGTTTAAAGATTATCTCAAAGCAGTGGTTTTAAGAGTTCATCCAGCCTCCAAGGCTACGGAGAGTCAAGTTCATGAGAATTTTGAATTCTATTCTGTATTTCCTCCCTTTAAATACATATTATGCTCTAGTATCTTTGAGCAAAATGGTCAGCACTGATAATAAAGGACTATCCAGTTCTTCTGGTGTCATGGCAACTCAGCTATACATTCCCTATCTTCCTCCTATTCCTGAATCTTCTCCTTTCTCTGTTGCTCCAGGAGAATAGAAACCTATTGTGTCCCTGTGATCACCACTTGGGAGCTTCATTGGGTTTTTTTATCACTTAAATCTATACTATTTTGCTTTTCTTATAATTACTGTACATATTTATAAGTATTTGTATTTTAAGTGTCAGATAACTCAATACTAAACCACCATATTATATGAATGAGAAAACAAGGACAAAACCAAATAATTGAGCAAATTTGTGTGAAATTAGAAATACGCTAAGCATAAATGTAAAACTTCAGTATAATGAAAGTAATAAACATTATTCCTGTAAATATTTCTTCATAAAAATAAAATTTTGAAACCATGACTTTTTTAATTGTTGTGCATTTTCTTCCTTCCCCTCCCCCAACCTGCCCCACAATGCATCTGTTGCTCTAGACTGTTTTTGTTTTTGTTTTTGTTTTAATTAAATTTTATTAGTTTTAATGAACATTTACAGAGATTTTGGGTTTTCATTCCTTCATTGTTGCACTGTTTTCTCTGCCCTCATCCCCAGTTCGTTCTTCTTCCCTGCACATGTCTGTTTTAATTGTCCAACTGCCACAGTGCTTGTCAAAGCCAGTTCTGATTAATCTCCTTTGTCAGTGTGTCCCTCGCCAATCCCTATCACTCCTCCATGAGAGAGACTTCACCCTGATTCATAAGGAAAAGGGGATGGCGTATTCTCTTAGCTACTTCCTGCTGAAAAGGGACGC